GGACGTCACAATCATTATCACTAATTAGATGTCAAATTGGATGGCTCGGGGTGAGTCATGAAGTTCGATTTTTTTTTTTCAACTTTTTGTCTTTTCAATGGTACTCTTATAACCACCTATTTTGAAATTTAAGGAACAATAATGATGGTGACCTCCATGTATAAAAGATAAAAGAAAAAATTTACATAGATCCAAGACTCTAAACAATCAAATTAAAACCCACCTAAAAAATTTCACTAAAAGAGGTTGTTTTGATGCCCAAATATCCTCAAATTGACCATTTGGGCAGGAAGAGGAATGAACATGAGAAAGCAATGGATTTCAAGTTTTGGAAATAGCGCATCTTGTAATGCATTTTTTTACCATCAATTTTCAAGATTTTCAAATTTTTATAGATCAGTCAGATATTTTTAAAGTTTAAATTTTATAATTAAAGATGAAAATATATTTTAAACTATCACAAATATTTTCAGTATTAAAACTATATTTCTCGATACTATTTGAATTTGCGCTTTACTTTGATTGCTAAGAGCCTTGCCTCTATACAAACTGCACCCAAAGATAAAGGTCTTTTTTAAGACAATCCCATGGGTTATATTTTTTTATTAATAAAAGCAAAAATTACAAAAACCCCCCAAACTACACTTTGTATGCAACTTACCTTCCAAACTATTTACTTCTCTCATTTTCCCCCCTAAAATACACTTGCTAGGCAAATACTCCCCCAATTAAATAAAAGATAAAAAGTGCTTAAACTACGGTCCCTTACTTTTACCTTTACTCATGCCTCTCTCTCCTTTATCCCACCAAAATAAGGCTTTGATACTGTGTAAGTATGTCCAACAGTATAATACTTTGGAGCCACAGGGCTCTGACACTGTACAAGTGCAGTTCGACAGTAGAATACTCTAGAATCACAGGGCTCCAACATTGTGTAAGTACTGTCCGACAGTAAATTTTTTGGAATTAGGGCAGTTGCAAAGGACGGTTTGATAGTAGATACTTATGATAAGGCTCGGGCACTATGTAAGTGAGGGCCGGCAGTAAAAATTCTGGAGTTACAGTGATCCGGCAGTTGCAAAGGGCAGTCCAGCAGTAGATGTTACTGGATTCCAACCGTGGATTCGAAGGGTCCGACACTATATAAAAAGTGGCCCAATAATATTAAGTTGTGGCCCAATAATATTAAGTTTTGGTCCAGTAGTTGTCTTAGGGCAGTTCAGCACTTAAGTTTATGGAATAATGGGTTCGACAATACGATGGTGTGCCCTGACAATATACTACTGAGGCTGAAAGTCAACCTCAAATTTGGTCAAACTCATTTTTGTGTATGGGAAGGATATTTTTGTTTAAAATTTTTTTTTTTTTCTTTAAGAAGTATTTGCATAAAAGTTTGTTTTAGAAAAAAAAGTTAGATAAAAAATTGTATTGGGTAAGTTGCATAGAAAGTGTGGACTGGGGTTTGTTTTTTTATTTTTGTTTTTTCGTTTTTTTTTATTTTCCCTTAATAAAACGTCTCGGCAAGGGTGGTATCACCAAAAACCTGCGTGTACAATCTACCGTAACTTAATGGGTTTTTAATTAAATTAAAATGCAGTTGATTACAAATTCACTACTTTACCAGGAGTTCAGCACTGAACGTCGCGGAAAGGGTTCATTGGATCCAAGTAAACATAAAGTTGCTCTTAAGTCCTCGATTATTTTGATTTTTTTCATGAATTACAGTGGTTGGATTGACCAGAGGATGATGTTTTCTTTGTAAAACGTTTTATCGTAAATTTTTCTTCTTTTTTGTGCGATTTCTGCTTCTTTTTGGTGTAAATTACTGCTTTAGATGCTATTTTTTTGTCCCAATAATTGATGAACTGTTGGTTTTGGTGAAGTAGAATTTACTGGGACTAAGCAGTCTTTGGAAGATTTTTTTTTTCTTTTTGTGATTCAATACTGCTGATTTTGTTTGAGGATATTTTTGCAATTTATTTATCTGAGATCACCTTGATGCCTTGTACCCTAGGTTCATGATGCTCTAACTTTGGATTCTCACTAATTGGCAGTTATGAACTTTTCTGATGGAATTAAGCTATATTTTCCTTTTTCTCTATGCCCTTATCCATGCATATTTACAATATTGATTATCCTTTTTGTGAAATTTTAATGTTCAGTTTTCTTTATTGTTTGTCTGAAAGGAACAAGGAATCTAAGTATTAAGGGACAAGGAGTTTTCAGTGCTAAGTAAGAAGAATTTTTATCTCCTTATTCTTTTGAATGTGTTTTAGGGTTTTCGAGGAGTTAAAGTTATCGGTGGATGTGCTGAAAAGGCATCATGAATCATGAGGTTTTCACTCTTAATGAACTGGTGAGTGTGAAAGAAGCATGCCGTACAAAGTGCTGTATGCTATATGCTGCGCCATGTGGACATCCATTGCTTCTCTCCGATGATGGATGGTAGGGTTTACTACCCAGGTGAATGCTGGCCGTTTTGAACTATGAATTTTCTTCACCGTCCATTATTCGGAACAGGAGTTGAACAGCACATGGTGCATAATCTACCATACATGGCTGGTGTATGGTATAATTGTATCATAAATTCTGGTAACTTATGACTTCTGTAAGTCCCTGTTCGCATGTGTCCTAGAAGTTATTGGATTGAACATGTTTTTTTTTTTCAGGAGGTGGAGAACTTTGAGATACAAGAAGTACTACGCTGTACGCTCGCTTATCTTTTGAGAAACATTTTGCTTATATTTTCTAATTTGATTGTATAGATAATAGAATTTTCTTTTCTCATTTTATGGAGTATAGACTTTTGATTTAGAAGTTTCTAAATCCATGTGTCACTTGCTAGAAATAATCTTTGTGGTCTTTTTGTCATTGATTTTTTGTATCTTCCCCATGATTGGATCTTGCACATAAGTTATCTGGAGATATTTTAATTGTCGTGATTAAATTTTTTAATATTTTCTTTGGGTGGTTAAATTGTGTTGAGATGAAAATGTACATCGTTTTGGGTGTAAGTGATTAAATTGCATAACTTGTCACAGGGTTTGACATCTGTGGATCTTGTGAGTCCTATTGGAATTTTGTGTCATTTTGATTTTGGATGTGGGTTAGTGTGTTAATAACTATACATCTTAGTGTTATCCAGATGGTAATTGGTTATTGACATGAACATCTTAGAATTATCGATATGAACATCTTTGTATTATTCAAGAGATTCTCAGAAAAATAGATTAATGTGAATCCCAAGACATGTTCTTTTTTGCTTTCTCTTGACTGAACATGAAATTTAGCTAGAAGGCCTTCACAAGTTTAACCCTTTTTGGAGTTCTCTGCTTACTGTGGAAGGAGACTCAAGGAACATCATTTTATGGGCTTCCAACCCCTCCTCTTGCCCATGGAGACTCAACCACATATTCAAGGAGATAACCCAAATCTCCTGGAATCTCCACATATCCTGGAATCACATATTCACGGAATCCAATTTCACCGCTGATGCCCTGGCTAAGGAGGGGGCTCAGTCCAGCCTAGCCTAGCCATCATTAGTCTAGCCTTTTATTATTTTGCTGCTCTTGTAATCCATTCTTTGCCCCTCGGGGCTGATTTGTATAACAACCCTTTGTGGGGAGCAATTTTTGTAAAGTTCGATATACTTACTACAAGTTAACATTCTCAAAAAAAATAAAGCATGAAATTTAGGTAGTGAAATGTAGACCTTAAGATCTCTGTTCTTAGTGTGTCACTCTGATCAATGTTAGAGTGATGCAGTGGGTTGATAGGATATTTATCTTTGTCATCACCCAGTCAGGTTTTCAGGAGATGCTTCCTCGTCATCTATTGCATGCTTCCTTTTCTTTTGTTACCCATGTGCCGTTTGTTTCCCTCATATCGTTTATTTATCAAAAATAAAATGAAAAAGAAAGGATTATGTGCATGAAAAATTTGAATGCATGCAAACATTCCTACTATTGAGTGCCATGTATGCAATATTATTTTATGCGCTCTATGAATCTGGGATCGAGACAACACCTTTTAAATCTATATATGAATCGATTTGATTTGTCAGAAATTCATTCATAGATAAATAGCATGATGTGGTCATTGGACTCCCTCTGAATTTCAGCATAAATGCTTTCATTAAAATATGCGTTATTACCAAAAGAATCAGCATATATGCTAAGGAAAATTCAGCAAATCCTTGATGCCAAAATAATTTGAGCATTTTTAAGCCCTCGCATTGGTTCCATTCTGATGCGTTTTGATGGGTTCTCCTCCATTTGATTAAATTGAAGTTCTATAATAAAAAAGAAAGCTATGAAGTGGTTCTTTAATGGATACAAGCTGAAACTTTTGCCTGTCGACTGCTATAATAGTTGCGCGATTTTGCTTTGCTATCAATGTTGTACATCCGATAAATGTTTATTATTTTCTGCAAGTTTATCTGTTCATTGTGCCTGTGTTATTTGCAAGTTATTGGTATGCAGTTATTGTATTGACAATCATATTTCAGTGGTTGTTGGGCGTCCTTTTACATTGATTTACCTGGATACAGGTATTCTGCATACAATTGTGTTTCACAGAGCGTTAGGCCTTGTTCGACCTAGAGACATTGATTCTGAGCTGTTTGATATAACTTATGTAAGTTACTATGTCACATATATGCACTGTTTTGTTTCAACATTTTTTATACTTCAAACTCTTGAGCATTGAGCATGTTGCTCCATTGGTCTTGTTTTTGTTGGAAAACATTCATTGAGGACCATGATACGAAACTGGTGTGGTAAACATATTCTGGTTGATCAAGACAGTGCATTTAATTGAACAAAGAAACCATTTGCATTTGCGTCATTTGTGGAGTATTACCTAAGTATTCTAGTAATGATTAACTCTTATGTTTTGAGATTTAAATGTTATCTGCTAAGACCGGTCTTCAATGCTCTCAAAAGAGCATTTTCATTAGGACCCCATTCGATCTAGAGGTTCTTATTCGTGATGAAGTTTTCTAATGGAAATTAGAAGAACTGGTTTTAAGCCATAACATGGATTTGCCTTTAATCATAGCAATTTTCAAATTCATTTGTGGAATCTAGAGGAGATGAAAATCTGGGAAAACTCAGGGTAGATCTATTAACTGATTACATAAATAAAAGATGTTTTGTGGGCTTATAAAATTCTAGGAACTAGAAAATGTGTTCATTTCATTGGTGGGAAGCTCCTTTCTCTGGCACATGAGGCATTCAAAGTTGTCAGAATCTCATACACCATCTGTGTCACATTTCATCTTGCCCCAAGTTTTATTTGCAAAGCCACCAATTATTATGAGCGTTCCAGGAAGAGTGTTAAAACATGTGCAATATATGAAAGTAAATGTGACCAACTTTCTTTTATTGTTAAATTTCGAGGTGTAGCTATTCTGTGGTGTTTATAGCAGCAATATTTGGAAATATTATGCATAGTTGGAAGGGGGAAAAGCTAGAAGCACTTTATGCATGTTTGGACAGCAAAAAATCTAAAACTTAAACAGATACCAGATTCATATCAGATGATATTATATTATTTGTATTGAGCTGATTTGTGCCTGTAGGTTCAATGTGGAGACCCTGATGTAGAAAAGAAATTAGAGGAAAAAATTGATCAGTTCATTGCTTGGGTTGAAAAGCATCCGAACAAGAAAAGCCAGGTTTGTGTTCATTTTAAAAAAATTTCCCCTGTAGCCCGTGTTTGCTGTTAATTTTTTCGGGTAATCATCACTCTGTAGTTTCCAACATGACGAAACATTTCTAATAAATACTTTTTATTGGGGGAGGGGCATTAAGTGATGGGATTGGAACCGTTGGCATTACATTGCGTTTTCACCACCCCAACCACCGAGCCAAGAGATGGAATTACTTGACTGCTGTTACTTCAGTCAATAAATTATTCAGTTTTTTAGAAAGTGCAACCATCAATAGTGCTTGAAATGGTTGAAATTTAGAAACAAAGCAGATTGTTTTTCTGATGGGCACAAAGTAAATTTTCATGATCTAGCTTTGACCTTCTTTTTGCCATTGTATGGATGCATAGATGTGTTGGAACATTTTACCCATCGTGTAACTATGGCAGAAAGTTTGGTGTGATTTATATGTAATCGATTGCTTCATAAGGGCCTTTCATGAAGAGGCTTTCCAATCAATATTAGAACTGCTTAGCTTTGGAGCTCTTCTGATCCAATCCCCTAGTGCATGCTAATGGCACACGTTTAGGCTTGTTTACTGATTCCTCACTTCTCATAGTAGTCAATTGTTCAGTGGAAAACTTGAATAACACTTGATTTATTATTTTTTTTGATAAACAATCTTGAGGACAAATCCAATGGATGAATTTTAGCCCAATTTTTTCTGTTTTATTCTGCAGTGTAGCCCTTGAGGGGTAAGTTCCAAGTACTGCTAGACTTCTTAGAGCAGTAATATAGTTGCCATTGTTGTAGGATCCCTTTTCTTTTATATGCTGGTTGTTCCCTCATAGTGCCACAACTTGTTTTATTTATATTACCAATGGTCATATATAGAGCCATTTGTGCATTAATGCACTGAGGAAATATTGAACGATGCAGATGTGCATATCCTTTTATGAGATAAAGAACAAGCAGGCAGCATGGTTTACTAATAAAACTGAGCGCTTGTGCTGGGAGCAATGGTTCATTAATCTAAGTGTAGTTTCCTCAAAATCACCCACTGGAAAATCTCATCATCTGAAACCTTTGGCTGTAGATCCGTCAGGTATGTTGCATCATTGGATATTGAATCGATATTATTTCCACATTTTACTGAGTAATACTTTGGAAAGATGAATTGTATTTTGGTTTTTCCAAATTGTTTGCTGTTTGATTTGTTACAGAGACGGCGGTAGAGGAAATGAGTGCGCATCGTGCTTCTTTGGAGAAGTCACTCCGTGAAGTGTTGTTTAAAATCATAACGCTTGTTAATGAAAAGAAGGACCACATTCCTCCTGTACAGAATCAGGATGTTGTTTCTTTCCCATATGAAATCACAATCCCCAGGTTCCTATCTAATTTGCTAATCTTGGATGAAGAGAAATTGCTTTAGTAGATTATAGCTAACCTAACTTCTTATTCTATATCTTTGGAATGTTAGTTTGAAGGGCTTACAGCCAAACACTCTTTATCTCATTTAATTTGATTATTACTGTTCTTTTCTGATATTTTCAAATGCATATGGCTACTGCTGACCTAACTGCATTAAAACATGATCTTTGATGTATTTATCAATTGAAAGGTCTCTGGATTAGGAAGGACATGGAATTTGTATTCCTGGGTTGCTAGCCCATGATTTTCTATATACGGAGAAACTTTCCTCATAACAAGTCTCCTATCCGCCAAGTAGTTGTTCATAATATCGAAATATTTCCTGGTTAATGATTGGTTGCTCTTTCAGTTGCATTCTCCCCTTCATAGTTCCTCTTTCTTTTTGAAGCTATAGGGAATGAGTCCCATTTATATCTACGACATTATGGTTTTTGTGCTATCAGAAATTGAATTCAATGAGATATGGGTTACAGTTATAGACATTTGGAATGCATAGTATGAGGCTAACGTCTTAGTTGACTATTTTGTTTTGGTTTGTCCATATATGTAATCAAAGTACTATATTCTTGTGGTCACGAACACCTACCACTGTCTCACTTGTTAATGACATTGTCTTCCTTTGTTCAGAATCCATAGATATGCACTAATTGGTTAGTGATCAAACTCAAAATGAACATGATCTCTGGTTCAGCTTGAAAGAGTTGCATATTTCATGACAAATTAGTGAAAGAAATTTGTGAGTTATTTATCTCATACTTAAAATGAACATGATCTCTGATTCAGCTTGAAAGAGTTGCATATTTCATGTCAAATTAGTGAAAGAAAGTTGAGAGTTATCTTGCAAGAATCAACTACTTCTGCTTCTTTCTAGTACAATACCTGGCATTCTGATATTTACCTAGCAGCTTATTGCTTTATTGGTCGCACTTTAGGTCCGAATGCAACTTACTTGTTCAATTAGTTGGTATTGAGTCCTTGATTTAAGACTTGATAAATATTACGCATTGACATGCTTTTCAATTACTGCAGCTCATCAGACTCTTCCTTTGGCATGGACATGATCAAGCGAATGCTTCAGACAGGGCATCCAACCATGCTCAGTTAATTGCTTTAAACTAGTATCCAAAAGGTTTCTCTTATGATCTTTTGCTTACCCCAATTGTTTTTCAATTAATATGCCTCACAAACATAGATAAGTCGCATCAAATAATTCATTTTCTTTATAGCAGCGAAATTGGTTATTTGTTGAACTTTGGCACCCTTCTTTCTCATGTTTCAGGGGTTGTTTGTCAATAACAAAATTCTTTCTCTATGTTTCAGGGGTTGTCAATAACAAAATGGGAGGCTGATTTGCGAGCTATCTCATGAATGGAATGAAGACATGCGTCGCATATGTAATCCTATTTCTTATCTTATTTTTGTACAGTTATTTGATCATGGAGTAGGCCCTGGCTTACCGTACGCTGTACATTACAAATGGTGATTTTCAAAGTTCTATTTAGCTGGTCATCTCTGCTTGTGCCATCTTTTTAATGGTCCAAGTGACAAAAATATATGAAAATCAATGGAGAACGATGTTCATCCATCATTGGGTTGGTAGTTGTCAAGGAGATGAGAATTTGGTAGAATTGAAGGAACCGAGTAGCCTGTTTGTGTTTCTTTTTCTTCTCTTGTTCACATAATTCCTCAGAAAAATTTGAGACCCAAAGTAGCTTTTCCATTTTCAGATGTAGCTGAAATATTTGTGCATGAGCAACGATTCCTTGAAAATCTTGAGAACCAGCCAATTTAACAGCAAATCAATGATCTATTGTTGTGATTTTGAGAAGTACTCGTTTTTCTTTTTAAGTAATTTAAGCACCAGGGTAGTTTGGTCATTTTTGGATTCAAAGTCTTTGATCACTTGGAAAAAATATTTGATATCATTGCTATATGTATGTTAAGTTACACTTAACGGTAGGATCAGTGTTTTGAAACCCGGATTAGTGGGAAGGATTGTTTACCCACTCTTAGATCATTGGATTGGACATCTGGATGGGTTTGGTTCGGTTAGAATTAGTGATCCAAAAAATATTAAAAATAAATAAAATGAAATGAAAACGAGGGGTTTATGTTGTGGGGGATTAAAAGGGACGTAAGAAAGAACGAAGTTTCTATAGGGTCTAGGCTTTAGGCTTTATGAAAACAAAGTAAAGTTCACCTCAAATCTTCACCCGTAAAGCACTTCGGGCATCATAAATCTTCATGTGGTTCTAAAATCAATTTCTAATACCGACAATAAGATTTAAAATTAAAAAAATGGTACAGATCTTGTAGATCTATGAACATTTATTTTTAGGGTGAAATGGATAGTCTAGATGATTCGTTGTAAAGTACACTAGTTTTAGAACTTGAAATCTTAACTTTTTTTCACAACTAATGCTCAAGTTGAGATGATTGATTTTAAAAAAAATTTATATAAGGGTGAGGCCTTAAACAATCAAATTAAGACACACTTAAAAAATTCATTAAAAAAAAAAATTGATTTGATATTGGAAAATCCTAAATTCGATCATCACAATTTTAAGATGTATGGATATGAGAAAAAAATAAATATCAAGTTTTAAAAATAGTGCATCTTGTAATGTATTATCTAGACCGTCAATTTTCAAAATTTTCAATTGTTCATAGATTTACTTGATTTACAATTTTTGGACTTTTAAATTTATAATTAGAGATGAAAATAAATTTTCACGCCATCATAGAGATATTTGAAAGTGAAACAACATATTTCGGTATTATTTGAAGTTGTTTAGGGCCTCACCCTTATACAAATCACAACCTTAATTTAAAGGTTTTTCGACACTTGAATTGCAATTTTTGATGAGTTAGGTAAGGCTTTACTAATTTTTCCCTAAAAAAAGATTATACAAGCAACAAGAAAAAGAACAAGAAAAAAAGAAAACAAAGAGGGGAAATTTTAAAAGAAACCAGGTTAGGACCTATCCCATTCTAGGACCAATTCGATTTCAACCGATGCCCTTTCGAATCGGCGGTCAGGCTCAAAAATCGCGGAGTTTTAAAAAATTGGGGGCGACATGTGCAATTTGATGAGGGCCTAGAGCGTGATGCAGGTACCTTATTAAGGTACATCTGTCGAGGTAGAGGGAGTTTACTTTGGGTGCGTTTAAATTTTGGAAGACAGTCTTGGAAGAGATTGGATACGATAGGTTCTATAGTCTACTTTTTCAACATTAAAAATAACGTAATGCTATAGGTTATATTGTCAATTTTTCAACATTAAAAATAACATAATACTATAGGTTATATTGTCAATTTTTCAACAAGTGATACTCCAATATCTGTTTTCGAGTAGTACCTATCCATCCATTACCAAAGGAAAGGAAGGTGCCTTGAAGAGGTGTTCCAAAATTTAAACGCGGCATTAGGGAGAGAGTTTAGAGGAAGATACTATCTGTCATCCAAATTGATGGTGACTCGGTAATTTTTACTAATTCCCAAAAATTAGGCTTTTTTAAAGGATGAGGTTTCTACAAGGCTTAGGTTTTATGAAAAACGAAATAAAACTTCATCTCAAATCTTAATTTGGAAAGTAATTTTGGCCAGCTCTAAAATCAATTTCCAATACCGACAATAAAATTTGAAACTCAATAAATGCTATAGATCTTGCGGATACATAAACATTTATTTTTAAAGCAAAATAAAAAATCTTGATAATTTATTATACTGTACATTATTTTTAGAGTTGAAATCTTATTTTTTTTTTTAACGAGTTAGGAGATAAGGATTTACAGCCCCATCACCACAGTATTTTCCTTTCTTAAAAAGAAAAAGTTTTCGGTGATGCAAGTTGTCCCACACGTGCAAAGATGTATATAGTAAATGAATGCAGCCGCTGCTGAGCAGTGAAGAAAAAGAAGAGGAAAGGCGATGATTCGTTGGGCTGCATTTTTCCTCCTCCTAACCACCAATGCGCAGTCACCTGAGACTGAGAGCCCCCCCTCCTACGATTACTTCTTCTTACAGGTACTCACTTTCTCACTCTACAATTTAATCTCTCATCATTTTTATTCTATTTAATCTTCAACACCAGAAACTCATGATTATAGTCTGTTGGTGTTGTTCTTTTTTTTTTTGGACTTAAAGTCCGATGAGTTTATAAGAAATCTCCCCAGAATAAATTTCAGTGAAAGGGAGCTACCCAACTAGCCAACTACTATCTTTTTCTGAATCTTTTTCTTTTAATACTCCTACGACATTTTCATTTTTGAAAGGTTGGTTGTTCTTCCCCATAATTTGAAATTTTGGCTTACTTTTTTTTTTGTTGATAAACAGATGATTGGTTTTACTTCTGATTTGATAATTAGGATTTCAAAGGTTGGGTTTATTTAAAAACATCGGAATCCTAACCTTGTTCTTTCTTAAATAGGATATTTTGAGGAAAATTTCTGATATAGAACAGTGGAGATTGGATCGAGTAAGATTGTCGAGCTTAGATGTAAAAAATGCGAAGATTTCTGCTGCCCAAAGATATGAATTCATTCTTCAAATTGGGGGGAATTCTTTGGCACTGAAATTCAATGATGAGAGACTTTCATGGGAAAAATTACATCGAAAGAGCAAACAAGCTTCGAAAGGAAGTGATATTTTTGAACCCCAAATGGTTAAAATTATGCAAAGAAGACCTTCCCTTAAACCATTTAAGTTGGAAGGTCCACTTGAAATGCACATCCATGGGAGTGGGGAGCCACAATTGATTCTTCCAGTATGTTTTCTCATCTTCTTTCCTCCTTCAAGATTGCTTTTTATTTATTGAAGTTCTCTGTTTGGAGTTTGAACTCTTAATTTGCCTTTATAAATTTTATCTTGATGTTGCTTTGATATTGTTCTCATTGTTCTTTAAGTTTAAGCATAGTCGATTATATGTCTAGAGAGCCTTGAACATCGCATTTGAAATGATCTAGTGTTCGTAAACAAAAAGAATGTAAAGTTCTGCAATTTACGAAGATATGCCATTTGGAAATGTTCAAGGCATGCTTTTCTTAATTAGAGTTCATCGACGGAGAGAATTTAATGCTTTGCTGAAGCATATCCTTTCTAAGAATGCGCTATTTGTTCTGGGAGATCTTTTGTATCTTTGTAAGTTGTAGGCTACTTTATTACTTTGCTTTATAAAGCAATGTCGATAAAAAAGCATGTCGATAAATATTGTCATCCTTTCAATAGAAACTGTTGAAGTTCTGGGTGGATGTTTCTAGGGCACTTTTTGCTGGGCAAGTTGGGTTAAATTTGCTCACTTCTGAAGTTAACATTACAAACTTCTTATTTTTCAAGAACTGGAGAGTGAAGTTAACATTAAAAACTTCTTATTTTGCAAGAACTAGAGACATTAACCTATAACAATGACCCATCTAACTATGAATGTGGGACTATAGCATGAGATAGTCACTTAGTTGTATCTCAAGCACAAGTTTGCTTGGAGAATTAGATGCGCACTAATTTACATCAGTAAGAGGCAATTATTATATTGAGAAAGTGAGGGTTTGCACCTAGAAATAGAAATATTTCATGTTCTTCAATGTTCAAGAAAGTGTTTGTTAAATTTTCCATATTGCCCCCATTTCACCCTTCCAAAACCAACATATCCAAGTCGAAATGTAGGAAGAAAGTGTTGTGTTGAGGCTATGAAAAATTAAGCTACATGAAGAAAGATTGTAAGGCACAAAAGCCTAGTTCAAGTAAGTGAAGAGCAAAAGTAGAGTAGATAAAACACCTCAATAGATTAGAAGAGAGTGTTCGGTGAGAATCAAGGATGCTTTGGTAAGAGACATGTTCATATGTTGTTCTTTTACTTTTTGTAATGCATCTATAATCTATTCACTAAAGAGCAATTTGAAACTGCATTTTCAATTTCAAGGAGTGCCCTCTCCCCTCTTGTTGAGACTATGTTTAGAGATTATCTATACCTAAAATAGGTCATTTGGCTGAACTGGAATAAACTAGGCCTGATCAGGCCTAATTATAGCTCAAGTCAATGCTAGATTTGGTGATCTTTTGGGTCATGTCAATGGAAATCGTTCTTGACTGGCTCCAACTGGTTAAAACAAATGTCATGGCACTGAATGCACCAAATGGCTTCTGATTGAAAGTTAATTTTCAATGAAAAGGGAACTGGGTAGTGGTTTGCTGATAGTAAATGGATTGACAGAGTAAATTATTTTAAAAGCTATATATGAACAGCGGGCCTCTTGTAGAGCTCATATGCCATATTTCAATATTGGAGCAGTCTTATAAGCCATGTATTCTTAGTCCCTAGAGGGACAGGTCTGATGTGTGGTTGCTTTGGAATCAGGGTCCTTCATATTCATGAACGATAGGGTCCTGGGTTTCCAAACGTTTCCCGTAATCTTTCTTCTTGGAGGGATTCTACGGAGGAAACTGCTGCATAGTTCCTCGAAGTTGTGTGTAAAGTAATGGTGTTTTAATTATATAATAGAAGTGATAATGGTTTTTGTGTTTGATGTTGCATCGATTTGTCTAGAGCTAAAAAAGCATAAGATATCAAATATTGTTGACCTATCAGACTATTAAAGCATCACCAGTCTATTAAATACACTGTTCAATAGTCTATTGAATCATTGACCTAGTAGTATAGTTGTTACAATGGAGGTGGACTTGGGAGAAAGCTTACTATGAACTTGTGATTAGTGCACATTCCACAGGTTCGATAGGATGGGAGAGGGACACGTTTGATAAAATGTATCAAAGATAGTGTTCTGCTATCCAGGACCATCATAACAAGCATTTTCTTCATGATTTATACTTGTGCATGCTTCTTGGACAATTTTCTGATGCGCTGGGAATGTGAAAGGCATAGCTAGATGTCCAACCATTTTATAGATAGAGACCTTACAATGTCGAAATTATTATTTCTGATTGACTGGGAAAAAGCCTTGAATATTTTAAAAAGGTAAAAAACCACAGAAAGGAATGAAAGGCATGCACTGGAATATGAAAGGCATAGCTAGATGTCCAACCATTTTATAGATAGAGACCTTGGAATGTTAAAAGTATTATTTCTGATTGACTGGGAAAAACCTTGAATATTTTAAAAAGGCAAAAACCCACAGAAAGGAGTGAAAGGCACGAAATAAGAAAACAGTAAAGAATGAAAGTTACGAAACAAAACTAAAGTGAGGGAGGTAAGGAAAAAACCACAGAAAGGAATGAAAAGCATGAAATAAGAACACCGTAAAGAATGAAAGTCACGAAACAAAACTAAGGTGGGGGAGGTAAAGTATAAAGATTGTGTTTCATTTCCGACTTGAATGCCATAGTATCTTCAGTGGTTCATGCCCAACTTGAATGGCATAGTATCTTCAGGGTATCCATCTCTCTCTCTTGCTGCGTAAGGTCCTGGAATAAACTAATGTATCTACACTTATACTGGATTTATATATGATACCGTTAGTGATATTTTTGTGCAGCTAAATCCTACTCTTATAGCTCCAAAACGAGTTCTTGTTGGTGAAGGAATTACGATAAGAGTAAAAGGTGCCCAACAAATCACGCTGATTCACCCTTCCATATCTGATTCATTCATAAATAGGACCTCAATCAATGTTTGCAAGACTACTCCTTTGGCTGTTATGTATTATTCATGCATGCCACGGCTCCTGGTGCGAATCTCAGAGCCCATTTCTTTAATTGCATATGGGATCCGCAATGCCCAAGCTCACATGAACATGGCATTTCCTTCCAATGATACTCTCACATTGATGCTGGAAAACGGTATACTTCATTGGTCAAAGAGCACCATGCGACAACCGATTGTCTCTCTTGATCCAGGGTTCCTTCCTCTTAATTCAAAGTTGGATCAACTAAGGGAATTGCTAAAGAGATTATTGGGTGAACGTATTTACAAAATGGGGAAGCTAAGGATATCTAGAGTGAGAATCATTGCTTCTACATTGGTGAGGTTTCAACTGGAATTGAAGAGGGATATGAGAGAAGAGCTTTCGGATGTGGATGCTTCAATGGCATGGAGAACCAGGCCAACACTAGAGCGAGCTTGGTTTGAGATAGTGGCGAGAGCGGAACGTGGGGAGCAATTGAAACCCTTGATTTTGAAGAGGTTGAGGCCATTTGTAAGAGCTGATTCCCGTGCATGGAGTAACCTCATGGGGAACACCTCCTTGGCAAGATTCCCATCCAGCCATGTTCCTTCTGAGGCCCTCACATTGGATGTCAAGTGGTAGGATGATTTGTTTGTTTTAGGGGGAAAGGTGATGACTAATCCATTGGCATCATAATTGTCTGATGCGAACATGGATGGTGATGCATGCATACCATTTGGTTCTTGCAGGCCTGCTTGTTGTCCCCTACAATTTCCGTAGCCTGTTGGACCATACTTTCTCTTTTGTTATTTGTCTATTGAGTAAATCCTACACCCATGTGATAACTTTTCTAAAGGTTTATGCCAAATTTAATGGTGATCATTTAGGGTTCTACACACATGGGTGTAGGAGGGTCTCATAGGATTATTGCTCTAGTCTATTTATCATTGCACAAGATGAAGGGTGTGTTGAAGCTGGAAAACCAGGAATTCTGGAATCTAGAAATATGTATAAAATAATGTGAAGTATTTCAGGTTTGAGTGCATACCTGATTATTTCAATTTATTTGAGATTTGTATTTAAATATGTATAAAATGCTGTGCTTTTGATAACTTGTCCATAATTTGTAGCGGATTTTGATAAATTGAGGTTTCCAAACATGGAGTATTTCGGTTTTGAGAGCATGTTGGACATTTCAATTTATTTAAGCCTAAGATATGTTGCCCAACGGGAGCATATTATCCATTTGCTCCCTCGGGCACATCTCAAGTATCCCGAGAATGAAATAGGGACGTCCAATTTTCATATTGAAGAACTCAAAATCCAGATTTTTTGTTTGAAAATAATCAATGGACTCAAAAACTTAAAAAAACATAATGTTGCAAAATATCTCTTGTACCTGAGGGGTTTCCCGGGGGAGCATGACATTCGTGCTCTTTGTTGAACTTTTGAGAGCATGTCATAGTATTCCAACAATTTTATTACATATTCGATTTAGCTAAAATTCTTAAATATTAACGGCATTTTGGTCATTTTAGTTTTTGCTAATTTTTTAAAATTGTTATTCAATTGAGCTAAAATTCTTAAATATTAGAGGCATTTTGGTCATTTTAATTTTTGCTAATTTTTTAAAATAATTAAAAGAAAAAGTTAAAATAAGGCAACCTTGATCATTATGGTTGTGAAAAAAAATAAATACAAGCTTTAAAAATAGTACATATTGTAACACATTATAATAAGAAAAAGCATATAATGAGACCATCTATCTTTGGTACAAAGTGGTCACAATTAATCTTAACCATTGAATGTGATATTTGATAGCTGTATTTATTCCATTGATCAAGCTCAAACTTCAAAAGAAATTTTCTCAAATTTTGGGATCTATCAAATTTCACATCGGATGGTTGTAAGTAATTGTGTTGCACAAACCCAAAAAGAGGAAATTATATAATCAAATTCAGTACATTGGTTGGGATAACATGAAAGAAAAAGAAAATCCTAGATGCAGCGGTTATGATGGCAACGAGGCTCATAGTTTAGATAGATTGTCGGTGACTTGGTTGGCCTCCTTCCAGAAGATAACAAGCGATTTAATAGAACAATTATAACTAACAGTCCAAATGTTTTCTTAATATAATTATTATTTTTAATTTTTAAAATTTATTTAATTTTTCATATTCATGATCTCCATATTAAAGATTATATATTATCTAAAAATTAAGATCATATTATATTTAAAAATATATTTATTATCAAGCCCGCATTTCTACAATACATGGGGCCGCATACCAACCACGTCCTTCAAGATGAGGCTTTACTTTCTTTAATAAGGGCTGGGCCTTATAGAAACTTGGCAACCAATTATTTGATTTTTCTCGTGTATAAATCCAAATTGAGATCCACATTGAGCACCATATCTCTTGTGTATAAATCCACATCGACTTTTCTCGTGTATAAATCCACATTGAGCACCATAGTAACAAATTGAGCACCATAATAACAAAGCTTGACTTTTCTCTTGTGTATAAATCCACACTGAGCACCATAGTAAGCAAGCTTGTGAATCAGATAAATGAGAGAGAGATGGAGAGAGATAAGGAAACGAAAAAAGCTAGCATCACCTGGTTCTTAAGCACGCACATTTATAAAGTTTGCTAATATTTAGCGTATGGTTCTTAGACAGCCCAATTAAGAAAAGAAAACAAGCACCGCTTCCCCATGCACATATTCATAAGCCCACTAGCCTTGAAAGCCAAAGCTGGACTCCTATTTGTTGGTCTAATGTCTCAACCACGCGACCTCAACAATAGAACATGAACCTCTTTACCCTGTCTTTCACAGATGGAATGACTCGAATGGGAACACTTCCCCGGCCACTCTCTGATCTCTCCACATGATCACGGTAGTGGCGACCGCGAAATGCAGCAAGATCAGCATAATATGCAGCTGGAACTGCAAAATCCATTGACAGAAAGGACAACACCTTATTTAGCAACGTTTAACAGTAACTAAGAAATAAGATATTAGTTGTACAAGCAATTCTAGCTAGAATTTAATTTAAAACTGCAAAACCCATTAAGAATTTAATTTAGAACTGCAAAACCCATTAAGAGAGAGGACAACTCCTCATTCAATAAAGGCTAAGAATAACTAGAAATGGAAAGATGATTATACAAGCACCGATTTAAAAGATCAAGTTTTTACTTATTGAGACAGAACGGTTGCAGCGAACATACCTACAAAACATTGCTCAAAATTAGTGTAATGCATTTATTAACAATACTAAATGAAGAATTTGGACGAAAAAAAAAAAAAATGATATTAAGAAAAATGAATGCCAACTTTTTTCCAATATATCACATTCAACGTTGCATATTCCATGTGAAATGGGTTAACTTACGTGTAGCACATATTATATATCAAACTCTGGAGCTGATCTGCTGTGAGCTTGTTATCATCGTGAAGGACATGATAATGAGCAGGACGACTTGTCCCCTGTAGACAGAGATGAGAGAGAAAGAGAGAGAGAGAGAGAGAGAGATCCCATTACAGACAGAGATTAAAGAGGGAGAGAGTCACACACACACATTGGAAAAATCGGACTCACCTACCTAAGTCCATGCTATGCTTACATGTCTAAATCTATTGTTATATGTCTATATTTATTTTCATGCAATAATAATTTGTGAGTTTTTACTAAGAAGATCACCTTAATAATACAATAGAAGATCACCTTAACGTTAATACAATAAAGTCTATACTTATTTTCATGCGATAATATTTGTAAGTTTTTACTAAGATGATCACCTTAATACAATAAAACATGTAGGTCCAAATCAAAGACAGGCTGGTCCAAATCATAAACATGTGTACTCATTTGTTCAGACACGTGTCCTGCAAAATGGACATGTCTCTTATCAAACGGACATCCAAATCATCCATTTGTGTGGGTAGTTTCCTACAAAATGGACATGCCTCTTATAATTGAATGTGTCTATATGAACTTCAAAGAGTTAAAATTCATGAATTGGTGTAGGAGTTGTGTATGATTCTCCTAAGTTTGTTCTGGAGTTAAAATTCATGAATTGGTGTAGGAGTTGTGTAGGATTCTCCTAAGTTTGTTATGGAATTATACAAGCTTATAAATGAATGTGTGCCTACATGGATCTTATTTCTGTCATCTGACTCACTTATCTACATGGCAACAGTGTCTACAACTTCAAAGAGTTAAATTTCATGAATTGGTGTGTAGGATTCTCCTAAGTTTGTTCTGGAAATGTACAAGCACACTGAGAGAGAGAGAGAGAGAGAGAGAGAGAGAGAGAGAGAGAGAGAGAGAGAGAGAGAGAGAGTAGTAGTAGTAGTAGTAGTAGTAGTAGTAGTAAGTAAGTAGTAACGTACGTACGTACGTACGTACGTACGTACGTAACGTAACGTAACGTAACGTACGTACGTACGTACGTACGTACGTACGTACGTACGTACGTACGTACGTACGTACGTACGTACGTACGTACGTAACGTACGTACGTAACGTAACGTAACG